GTTGCCTACTCACGGGGTCGTAAGGAGCCGTGGGTAGCGAGCAAGGCAAACCCACCTGCCTGCACGCGTGCCAGTGCAGCATACTCACGAAAGTGCGTTCGCTGTGTAAGTCCGCCACCTAGTAAAATGTGTAGCACGTAGAATGAAAAAGTCGGAAAAAGAAGACGTCACGCTCTAGCTTCTCCACTGATACGCGAAATGCCTCACTTTTATTTTGGAAGGTTCCTAAAATTGTTCTCATTATCTCGTACGGAAGGTGTGTCAAAATTCACTTTGAAAATCAGATCTTCCACCACAACGAGGCGCTACTGGCTCGCCTGCATATTTTCTCTTTTCGCTTACGGCAGGGTGATCACTTTGTCTCGACCGAGACGATAGACAAACACGGTGCAGAACTGGCGTCGCCTTTTAATTTAAAGTAGATCCCTCCCACCCCGCCCTCCTAGCCACGGCCCTGACCCCCCTGTGGTCCTTTGGTAGGGGTTGGCTGCACCCGACCTGGGGGGTCAGGCCCCAGGCCCGCTCGGCTCCGCGCCTCTCCGGGGAGGTCCGCCGCCTCAGGACGGGGGCTGCCGCAGAATTAAAAGCTTATGATTGTTCTCGAAGGAAAACATGACGCGAGCCGCACAATGCTGCAGCCGCAACCGACGGATCAACTTCGCACGCTCCGGTGGAGCGGGTGGAGAGATTCTGATGGGGGATGGGGATTGGGCTGGGGGGTAGGGGGGTGGAGGGGGTGGCTTATTGGCGTACCCGTACATCGTAGTATCAGCAATAACCTGGAGACAGGATTGAGTAACATACTGGTTAATTCGAAAACATTGGTTATGTTAATATTTATTTAACATTTTAATAAGATTGATTTTATTTAAATCGCCTTTCTTTCTAAGGTAGGGGATATAGTAGAAACAACTACCAGTGTTTTGGGGGTTTGTTTTTTTTAGTCTGGAAGAGAAACTCTTCCAGGGTTCAATATGGTTTCATGGAAATCAAACTGCAACAGAACTTTCTGCTCTGATGACACCCCATGGGAGGGACCCTTTCGGGGCGCCGCACCTTGTGGGTGACGCCCTGCTGTTCACCCTTCATTCGCCGCGCTCACCTCGGTGCTCACGCACTGCTTGTCCATCCTCGCCGCAGGAGGCTGTGGCCCCCGGAGTCCTCCCCCGAGGCGCGCCCCGTCTCGTCCGGTCCATGTCCCATGTCAGCAGCAATCAGCCGCTCTCGCGATGCGCGCGTTCTAGGCAGGGGCAAGCCTCTCCTCTTGTGATTTTTACCGAGTTCTATCATTTTGATCGACAAGCAGGGGGCGGCCTATCGAGTCCTCTTCTCTTCCCTTTGCAAATCGCGTAGGCGAGTGGGTTGGGTCGTTTATAGTAAATAGTAAATAGTCGAAATCATAAGCATTTGTCTAAAATTAATTATTAATTAAAGAAAAGTGAGATTGTTTCATTCAGTATTCGTAATCCCATTTATACTTATTGGCTCCACCCCGACTCCACCTCTGGGGATAATCCTCCCTCACCCCCGCCTCGATCCCGCGCTCCCGCCCGACATCCCCGCGTCTCCGGTCCCCACCACGTCGGCGCAACGCCGCGGCCGCGGGACGAAACGTGATACCCGCCCAATGAGAACATCCAGTCTAGCATGAAATCTGCATAAACTTTAGGAGCAACAAACGACCATCAGCGACGCTTGATGAGTTAGTGTATCGTGCACAAAG